GAAAGACTAAGGATAATTCCGAGTTAAGGATAATTGAGAGTTTGGTGGTACAATTCTTGCGGTGGAGAAGACTGGAAGTAAAGAGGAGAGGTTGGAATATGCGAAAAGGATGAGACTCTAGTGTTTTGTCTCAAATATAAGGTACACATTTCCATGAGACCTCAGAGACTGAGGTCCCCAACCGCTCGGGTTAGTATCCCTCGGATAAATTTCACTGTCACCTAGTGAAAAGAGCTCAAGTTGTTTGCATGACTGCTTCGAGGATATGTTGCTCAGGATGTTGGCTGCAGCAGATCTGTAGAACCACAGCTGTTTACTCCAAGAGAGCCACTTGAAGTTTATTTATGTCACCAAGGACCAGGAAGGTGAAATGCTACACTTGGCGCCATTGTCTGTGCTTGTTTTTCACAAAAATCCATATCTGGATGACGTGAGCAAGTCCTCAGCAGTCTTGGCTGTGTTCTAATAGGTCAGGTGTAACTTAAGCCCCAGAGGCCTAGGGAAATCGTAAATTAGACTGAAGGTGGCTGAGATAAAGCAAGAGTGCCTTTGCCCCAGATTAGAATCAAGGACAACAAAGTTGCCTAGAATTAGAAATCTAACAGAAACTGCAGAGACAAGCACACGTTATTTTGTGAGACTTTTGCTAATAGACAAGCTAAGAAGGAAGATGTAAAAACATACTTATCAAATTTGAGGATTTATAAAAAATACCTCAGGAACTGCTTCTTCCCAGAGAGTCAGAGTAGCTATGGGCTCCCACTCAGGACTGTATTTCTCACAAGTGATTCTTTTTTTTTTTTATTATTGTGAAAATACCATACAGAGGGGTTACAATTACATGGGCAAGATAATGAGTACATTTCTTATCAAGCATTGTAGCCTCCTCCTTTGTTTCCCCTTCCCATCCCTTCCCATCTTCCCCCCCCCCACACTCCTCCCCCATCCCTTCCCTCCCTCCCCCGCGCCAAAGTTGTAAAGTTTGTTTTTCGACATAATGATTTGTTCATCTCATTGTTGCGATGGGTCCACTTGTATCCCTATTTAAATGAGTTGTTTTTCCCCTCCCCTCCACAAATTATACCGACATCAAATACAGTGAAAGCAGGGGTTATACCGTGGAGGAGGGACATACAAAGCAACAAAGAAATCATCTTATAAATATGTTAGAAATAATTGCATGAAAGCAAAATCATTTGAATACTTATCTTGGGGTTCATTTCACCTAACATCAACTTATCTAACTTTTTCTGCTTGTTTCAGACATATACTAATTATTACAAATAAGGGAAACCATGGGACCTATGTTTCTTTGGGCCTGGCTTACTTCACTTAATATAATTTTTTCCAAGTCTTTCCATTTCCTAACAAATGGGGCAATGTCATTCTTTCTGGACTGAGTAGATGGTCTCAGACATTTTTCTTGTCTCCCTGGCTCACAAGTGATTCTGATACAGGTGATCCATAGATCTTATTTGGAAAAACAGGGAGACAAGAAAAATGTGTGAGACCATCTACTCAGCCCTGCCTTACAAATGGAGAAACTGACACTCGTGGAGAAGGGGTTTGCCCAAAGTCATGGAGCAACTTGGAATGTCAGTGCTGTTAGTTCACTAGCTTACTTACTCTTCGTCCTGCTGGATGACTGGAAAGCAAACCTGCCTTTCCACTTCCCAGTTCCCCTTCTTCCATTGTGTTTTCTCTTCTTTTCCAAAGCACTTACTGCCTAACATGAGACTAACTTTCTAGTTTACCATGCTTGTATTTGTCTCACTAAAATACAGACTTTACAGGGGTAGTGGCTCACTGAAGTATCCTATGTACTTCAAAGAGTCCCTGACCCACAACAAGTTTCATGACTGTAAATAAATAGATGAAAAAAGATTTTGTTTCGCTCTTAAGTAGTTACTGTGGGAAAATTCCAGCTCTTATGCATGGTTAGCACAAAGTAAAGTAGGATATTTTCTTCTTTGCTTGATTCTGCTAGAATCATGGTTTTCTTTTTTTTTTTAATTTTCTTTTTCTTTTTCTTTTTTTATTGTGAAAATACTGTACAGAGGGGTTACAATTACATGGGAAAGATAACGAGTACATCTCTTATCAAGCATTGTAGCCTCCTTCTTTGTTTCCCCTTCCCATCCCTTCCCATCCTCCTCCCACCCCCCAAAAAATGAGTATATTTTAAAAAGCAGATTTCTAAGCTGAGACTAGTGGCTCCTGCCTATGATCTCAGCTATTTGAGAGGTGGAGGTGGGAGTATCATGAATTTGAGGCCAGCCCAGTCAAAGTTAGCAGGAGAACCTGTCTGAAAACCAATAGTAAAAGAGCTGGGAGTATGGCTCAAGTGGCAGAGTACATACCTAGGAAGCAAAAGGCTCTAGGTTTAATCCCGAGCACTGAAAAAGACAGAAACAGATTTCCTACATAATAAAATTTTGTTCAGAAACAATTATCTGTAGCTGCAGAACAGTAATTTTAGTTCTGTCTTTCCTATAGCTAAACTTCTTATTTTTGTATGGTTGTCAACTAGAATCTCCTGAACAATATTCAATAATAATATTGCTAACATATTCTGTTTTAGAGTTTACTGAGAAGGCTTCTAAGGGTGCACTGTTATGTATGTTGTTGGCTGTGGTTTAAGGCAGGTATGCTTTAACAATCTAAGCAAATATTCATATGTTCCTAGTTTACCAATAGCTATAATTTCTCTTCCCATTCATGAGAACAGAGAGGTTATATCCCTATAATTTAAAAAGTAGCCGGCATAGGTAGGAACTCAATAAATATATGTTGAATAAATAGGAAATTATCAAGAAGACTGTATCAAGAGGATATGAGGTTTTCACGATATCATATGAAGACAGTTTTCTTTAGGTCTTCAGAAAAACTTAGCAATATTGGGATTTTAATCATCATTCTATATTGTAGAATCAGGGTTTTCAAAAACAGTTTGTGTTTGGAAAATGAAAGACCTTCCCACAATATTAATAATATTAATAGTAACTATAATAACAATAGCCCCCAAACACAAGAAGTTTAGAGCCAGGAATGCCATCTCATGATCTTTTCTAAGTCTCCTGCCTTCTAGGATTGGCAGAACAGGAATATGGTCTGTTTTATAGGAGATGGATGCTCAAGAGGTGAAATTACTTCTTCACAGCCAGTATACACTGAAGAATAAGGTTAGCTACCAGTAACACTCAGCATTGGGTTGGAGATATTCTCCTTTTGGAGGAGAAATTAAAAATGCTAAAGACTAGGTGAGAATTGCTTTTTGGGGTATCTCTGGGGCAAGAACATCAACATCCAAGGTGGTTTAAAACCACAGGATGGAAAGAAAGGTGCATTTCTTTCAGCTCAACTTTCCAGTACTTCCTTATACCTCACATCTTTCCATTCTCATATTACACGCACACACACACACACACACACAAAACCGAACTTCACACACACACACACACACACACACAAAACCAAACTTATATTTTAGACTGTTAGGCTTTTCTTACTTCTCAGACAACCTCCCTGAAAGCAGCCAAGGAAAATTCCTGTGGTGACAGATCACACTATCCATTTCTAGGGAGGCCACTGTGGCACTCATTCACAACCCACCCCTACGGAAGGGCAGACAGAAAGGGCCCCTTCATCCACCTTCTCTAACACTTCCCTGTTGAGGCCTCAACAGGAAAATGATGGCTTTCTAAATGTGGACACAGTAGATCTCTTGTGAGACTTGGTTGAACCTCTGTGTTCTGGAAACACTGTACTTTCCCACCGTGGATAATGTCAGCATTCATTCAAACCCCACCAGCCAAGACGGGCCTTGCTCGGAGTCAGTGGCCCTCCACACATATGGCAGAAGATCTCTAATATGCATGATCAGACAGCACTCTGCTGCTTCTGTGACTGCGAAGGTCTAGGGTAGTTGGTAACTTGCCAGGATCTTATGGCCTTTGCAATAGATAGAGCTGTGTTTTAAACACACAGGTTGTATAGTAAGGCCTATGCTTTGCCAGTGTGCTCCCAACAAAGCAGGTTAAGAACATGGATTTTGGAGCTATACTGTTTGAGTTTGAATCTTGACTTTGCCACTGGGAGGTGGGAAGTAGATGGGCTACAGAGCTGCCCCCTTCCTAAGCATGTCCTTCTGTAGCAAGTGATAGCTCCTATCATTTGTTGTGAGAATTAAATGAATCAATGCACATAAAATACTTGGTTTCTGGTGCACAGGCACTATATAAATACTAGTAGTAGTTCTAGTATAAGTACTAGTACTTATTTTTACATATCAAGTACTGTTTTCTCTGTTTGTAAACTTAGTCTTGGAAATTTCAGGGTCTCCCCAAAGGTTTTTGTACCTATATGTTCAACAACCATGTGTTTGATCCATACATGGTGCTTAAAGTGGTACCTGGCATATCATTTGCATCCCCCCCGCCCCCACAAGCCCCCGTAACTTGTTAGTGGTGCCTGGCATATAACTCACCCCTGGTAACTGTTAGTGGTGATTAATATGACATTGCCAAGGCACTGAGGCTAGAAGTGGTGAGACATCTGCCCTTAATCAGCACTATCCTCTAGGCTGGGGATTCAAGGAGAGATGGGCATATATGCTCTTCTTACAAATCGGGCAAGTGGGAGGTGGCCATTATTTTGCACACAGCAAGTTTCTTTTATTTTAATGCCCTAGCAATGAAATATATATATATATATATATATATATATATATATATATATATACATACATACATACATACACACACACATAAAATTTAAAAGGATGGAGAGGTGAAACTTTTTCATTCCTGGTTAAGACACATTAAATCAAAACAATAAGAATTAGGACTTAGCGCGTTTGCAGTAATAATTTGTCTCTGGACAGCTTTGTGGTGTGCCATTCACTGGAATGAGCTTTCTCTGTCTAGTTGCCACCAGCCCATGCTTGGTCTGAGCACAGACCTCCTAGGCTTGGTCATGACTACTTTATCCTTCTCTCCTAGCTTAAGAGTTGGACAGTGGAAGACCTTCAGAAGAGGCTCTTGGCCCTTGACCCCATGATGGAACAGGAAATTGAAGAGATCCGGCAGAAGTACCAGTCCAAGCGGCAGCCAATCCTGGATGCCATTGAAGCTAAGAAGAGGCGACAACAAAACTTCTGAGGGAGGCTGGGCCCAGGCGGCTGACTGTAGATCACATGTCTCATGTTTGTTAGCCAGCATCTGCTCTGTCATTTCTCCACAGCACCTTGGTGAACTCAGGAACATGCGCCACTGGAGGGGCTACTTGTGTTATCTTGATGTATTTCCACTGGCCAGATTTACTATTTCAGAAGATTTGTATGGGCGCTCTTAACTCAGAGTTTTAAATCCCAGGAACAGAGACTCCTAGTTGAGTCTAGCTGGGAAAGTTTTACATTATCTTTTTGGATTTCTTTTCCCAATAGCTTTTGGTTGTTCTTTCTGAAGACTTTTTAAAAATATATACATATGCATATATATAAATTATAAATAGATTCCCACTCCACGTGGTGGCATCTCTGTACAGGTACAGTTTTGAACATTTTTGCCTCTTTCTGTAAGCTTATGGTACTGTGGAACAAGAGGACAGAGGACAGAGGGAGGCTCATAAGGAGTCACTGGACTGCAGGAGCCAACCCCACCTTTGCAAGGCCGCATTGAAAAAGTAGGACCCGGACAGTCCTCTCACATTTTCAGCTTTGTGTGGCCCTCACTGACTTCTGGAGCTGTCAGTGATGCACAGGGAAAGCCTTGAGGATTTGCATTTGCTCTTGGAGTCCCAGGGGAAGCCTCTTTGCAAATTGGCCTTTGTTGTTTCAACGTCTTCATCCATCTCCACTCTCCTAACTGCCTAAAGTCACATCCCAGATACTGCCTAGTGCCTTAAGAGGAGACCATGATCCAACAAAGGGACAGGCCTACCAGGAGCTCTCAGCAAACACAGGGCTGTGCTCCATTAGCAGAAGGGGAAGGGTTTTTGAAGCTCTCATTGTTTCCTGTGCAAATCACACATGTGTCATTTCACTCTGCATTCCTTACAGACAGGGTAGAGGGCATTGCTTCTGTGACCCACATTCAGATATGTGACCATTTTCTTCTTCATTTACTGTGTGTGGGGGTGGGGGTGGGGAGGGGAGGGGCATGGTCTGGAAAGGATAAATGAATACCAGACTAAGATTTATTATCCAGGAGCTCAGTCAAGGACACACAGTGCCAGAGCTTGAAGGACCATAGAGATCATCTGGTCTGACTCCATGTTGTGCAGATGGGAAAGCTGAGGCTTAAGAAGGGAAGTTACCTGGGGAATAGCACAAATCAACTTAGAGGAAGAACAGAGATTGGAACTTGGGGCTTTTCTCCTTGGTCACTGAACTGAGCAGCCCTTTCCTAAGGGGTGGGATCTGTGTCTGTTTTGGTCATGTTGTCCCAAGGAGCGCTGCTCACAGAGACTAAACTCTCGCCTTGCCTCTTTAACAGCTGACCTGGCTGTGGAGATTTCCCTGAGGAGCCGCACTGTTCAGTGTCAGCAAGTCCATGAGCCTCTGCAGTTTCTGTAGATGCACACAAACCCCCATGGAGGCACATAGGCCCGAAGCAGAGGAGAGGCTTTGCAAAAGAGCCATCTTCCTGCAACTTTGGCTCAAAGCCTCCTTTAGTCACACAGCAGAAAGACAATTGAGAAAGACAAGTGTCTTTTTATTTTTTTCTAATGTCTTTTCCCTCAGATGGGAAGCCATGATTGAGTAGCACCAGAGGATGCTGTAACTTGATTCCATAATTGCTCTCACTCCCTAGCCCTCAGAATCAGTGTGAAGGCAGGGATGTTCCTCTGTGTGACAAGATTCTTTTCTTTGCAATTACAGCAAGTTTTTAACAATGCAAAATACAACTGGTCTCCGATGCTTGGCCTAAAGAAAATAGAGGACAATCTGAAGATCTTGTAAGAGCAGCAGCTGGCATTTGCTGACCATGGGTTATATTCAGGCAATAAGCTAGGTGGGCTCCAAATTTCATAGTAGTCCTGTGGGGGGGAGTACTTTATCTTCATTTCATAGATGAAGAAATAGGCTTGAAGGGGACAATTTATTTCCTCAGCAGTACAACCAGGAAGTCATAGAATTAGGATTCACAGCATCCTTGTGTGGGGCCAGTATTTACAGGAAAAGGAAACTCATATATCTTTTTAAACAAAGTGCCCATCTTTTCTCATATACTAACTCTAAATTGAATTTTTAGGTGGAAAACAACTAAACCAAGAGTCAACTGTAACAGCCAATTAAGTTTTAAAAACCAAAGCATGAGAATGCACATCATTTGTGCGTGCGCGCACACGTGTGCATGCGCACATGCACATGTGTGTTAATAGTTCTGTCTCAGTCTCTTTCCCCTTTAAGCAAATAAAACTTTGTTCTTGGCCCAGTAGAAAGGACAGGCCCATTTCTCCTTTCCTAAGCAAGATCCAAGTCAAGGAAAGCTGTTTTTCCCGAAAGTACTCTTAGGCCATAAACTTTGATTTGGAGTTAATTTTATTTCAAGCATGTATGCACCCTACAGGCTGATCTAGCAAAGTCTGCTGCTCATCAGTCCGGCTCAACAGAGCTTTTTGGCCAACAGTCAGTTTGTTTTGGTTCAGATAGTTTTCCTGGCAAGGTATATTTGTTTTCTAGAGACAGAAAGGCAAGAAAAGAAAACCATAGTCATTGTTTCCTTGAATGCTGCATTCAGGATACTTGAGCTTGCTTTCACTGAGCTTGAGTATTTGTGACTTAAGCTTCCAAGGAACTCTATGGCTCTATGCTTCTGAGAAACCATGACCTAATTGCATCTTTTGAAAAATTCTACTCTAAAACATTTTGACTGCCTTCCTCCTAGAGACCTGAATTCCTGTTTTTTATTTTTCCTGTATTCTTTTTCCCAACCACCAATTGGGATAATGAGATTTTGGTTGGGAGTGAGGAGAAGTGGTTGAATGATGGTAGGTAGATAGGTAGGTAGGTAGGTAGGCAGGCAGGCAGGCAGGCAGGCAGGCAGATAGATAGATAGATAGATAGATAGATAGATAGATAGATAGATAGATAGATAGATAGATAGATAGATAGAGCAATTTAAAGCAGTTTAAAAAATTATAACCTTGACTCTTTAAGACTATAGGTGCTAAACCAGGAAACCTTTACTTAACACCTACCAGATGCCAAAACTTATTTATATCATTTAAAACTCAATAACCCCAATAACAGGAATGATAGAAATGAGGTGACATCACTATAGATCCTATAGCTATTAAAAGGCTAATAACAGAATATTATGTACAACTATATGCTAATAAACCCAACAACCTAAATAAAGTAGATACATTCCTGGAAATATACCAAAGTTCAGAAGACAAAAGAGCGCTGAGAAAAAGAAAAGGGGGGGCATTACTGTCTGCCTTTTACAGATGAGAAAACTGAGGCTCAGAGTGGTAGTCTTACTCAAAGTCATAGTACTAGAATGTAACTTAAGAGTCGGAATTCAAATCCTGGTACTTCTGGTGTCCTTTCTAACATTCCATGTTGCCTCCAAAGACTGAAGCTCCTTATTAGGGGGAAATTGTTCCTGCCCAGCCCCACCTACCCACCTTTAAGCACCACATTGATGTTATGACTGTATTCATTGTCTTTGGAATCCACATTTTTATGTTTGAAAAAAGAAATTTCTACCAGCTTGCACTCGGACCAACTTGGAAAATAAAAACTTAAATGCTGTTGTTGATGTACAATTTAAAAATGTGAAGTTTGTAGCTTTAATTTTTTTTTGTAATGAAAACTAAACACACTGGCTTAAGTGCTGACTTGAAAAGCTATTTTGTTAGGCTTGGATGTAAATAATTGGTCAAGGTCAGCAGTTTGTATATGGGTGAGACATAGCTTCCTCCACTGCCTTTTGTTTGGGTTTTAAAACTTGAGATGATTCATATGTGTTTTTATGTTAGAATTATCCTTTTTCCCTCCCTCCCTCCCTCCCGCCCTCCCTCCCTCCCTCTCTCCATCCCTCCCTACACCATGTCACCTTTGTTTTAAATAAATTGGACCATGGACTCTTTTTTTAAATGACTCCCTTTTTTAAAAAAAATGAGGTCTTGTATATGTGCCTGCATAGTAGTGGTGTAAGCTTTAGTGACATTGACTCCTGTGTAGAGTTTGTGTTCCAGGATCCAAGGATGAGAAGAAGCAGGTGAGTTTTCGTTGGACATGTACTTTGTGCCAGGGACTGAGCTAGTCGACCAGGACATAAAGATGCACAGTGTGTGCAGAACTTGTGAGGAGTCAGTCCAACATAGAAGCTCACAATCTTGTGAATGCTGTGGTTGAAGGAAGTACACAGCTTTCAGCACACTTGATGGAGTGGCCGTGCTGCAGGGGCCTCCAACGAAGCTCTCTGGAAGAGGTAATACATCTTGATACTTGAATGATAATGAAAGAAGAGACAAGTATGGTTTATGTGTAGAACTATTCAATTCTTAAAAAGGAAGGACATTCTGATAGATGCTACAACATGGGTGAACTTTGAAAATATAATGCTACGTGAAATAAAGCAGTCAGAAAAGAAAAAAATATATGTTCTCATATAAGATACCTACAGTAGGCAAATTAATAGAGACAGGACGCAGAATGCTGGTTGCTGTAGGAAAGGGAGGAATGGGGAGCTAGTGTTTAATTAGCTAGTGTTTAGTTTGGAAGGTGACAGAATATAGAGATGTGTGATGATCGTACAACAAAGTACCTACTGCTACTGAACTATACACTAAAAATGGTACATTAGGTATATTTTTCCACAGCAAAAAAAAAGCCATGCAACCCCATTTGTATAAAATTCAAAATGATGGCAATGTAATCTATGATCTGCAGAGTGAGGATAGAGCTTCCCTTTGTTGGATGTGGTGGTATGCAGAGGGAGGAGCATGAGGAAGGCCTCTGGGGTGTGGTCACATTCTCATTCTTTATCTGAGTACTCAGTACATGAGGTTGTTCCATGAGGTTGTTCGGTGATGAGAAAATGCATCATGAGTTACGCATTTTATATGGGAATAAACAGAAAATTCTAGTCCCCAGTGCTGAGTTTGCAGATCTCCCAGTCATGGATGGGAACCTCTCCAGGCCTATGTCAGTTAAGGAGTGGTTCCTTTTAGCCTGCTTGCATTTACCTCAGCCAGCACCTTGTTTTGGCATGACGCAGCTGAGGCCCGAAGTTTTGGCAATGTCAAGTCCAACCTGTACCCAAGCTTCTGGACTCTGGTGCTCCTTCAACAGTGGCATCAAATATGTGAGTCTAATTTGTAATATGTAGATAAAAGTTTCAATCTGTGGGTAAGCAATTTCCTAATACCTTCCGCTCATTCAACGGTAGCATCAAATATGTGAGTCTAATTTGTAATATGTAGATAAAAGTTGCAATCTGTGGATACGCAAACAATT